TCATTTTACACTTGAAAAAAACTAAGATCGAGAGAGAAAGAGAAGATTGTGACCAAGCCCAAGCAGTTAAAAAGGAGAAGGAGAAGCAATGTTATTTCTTGTTGAGTTAAGCCACTGCTTGGGACATCCACACCCATGACCGGAATGCTGAGCTGAGTTCTGGCTACTCTGCCTCTGATCCAGCTTCCTGCTAATGCACCCGGGAAGGCAGCAGATGATGGCTTAACTACCTGGGTTCCCTATGGGAGACCCAGATTGAGTCCCTGGCTCCTAGCTTCAGCCTGGTCCAGCTGTCCAAATGTCCAAGCGACATTGACATTTGAACAGTGAATCAGTGGACGGGAGATCTTTATCCCTCTCTCTCTGTCACTCTGCCTTTCAAATAAATGAAACTTTAAAAAAAAAAAAAGAAGAAAAAGAGGAGGATCATAATTCAAGCACATTTCCCAGGTGTCTGCACTAAAGAAGTAGTCTCTAAACTTCAGGTTTTGAGTATCCCTTGCAGGAAATGGGTCTCTGTCATTTATAAATTATATGTATCTACCATAACACTAATATATTATGTATATTATAAAACACATAGCACAAAAATAGAAATTAAAAGATAATCCCCTAAACACAGATGACTGTCTCTAAATACCATTTCCCACTTAAAGTAAAGAGCTCCTTGGACTAGGGTCTAATTTTCAGTCTGGGAAGTGAGTCTGGAACATCTTGTCATACCAGGAGCAAGGAAACTCTCCATTATTGGATCAGGCCAAAAGAGCTGCAGAGCCAACCTGGAAAGGTTTCCACAGGCCAGCAATGCAATTATTTCAATCCCATTCTGTATCCCCAATCCGCATGGTTATCCTATTATGAAAAAAAATCCCGGTGACCACTTTTGGAGAATACTAGGTGACCAGTTCATCAATTTGAAAACTGGCAAATAATAAGCAGCATTTAACTTGGTTTTCCCACCAGAACTGTGCCCTGGGGTTAGCAAGGACTCAGAGCTGATGAGAAGAAGCTCATTACTCAAATATTCCAGTGAGTACGCGAAGGCAGAGTTGGACTACCATGTGCTGCAACTGCTGGTGAATTAATGGGCTTGTTAGAGATCACTGGAGATCGCTGATATCTCAGAATGAGAGCCAGGCAGACATTCTGTTCTCCCAATGATCTCTACAACACCATCTACAAAACACTCAAGTCCAACCCCAGGGAGCCTTGTGATTGCCGATTTATAAGAAACACACGTGATAAAGGACATGACAGCCACAGCAGCAGCACAATCCAGCTGGTAAAAGATTAGCGGAGTCAGAGCACCCAAGTTCTTCAACCAAAACAAACAAACAAAAAAATAGCAACAATAGAGAATGAGTGATTGAGACCAACAGAGAAGAGACTTGAGCGACACACTTACCCCTCACCATGTGCGTACCTGGGAATCCCAACTCAAACGGTAAAATAAAACTTACAGGACAATGAAAGGGCTACAGACGCTGACTGGATCTGCTGACTGGGAATTACTGCTGATGCTTTTGGAGTATGGTGTTGTATGTGGTTATGGCTTTTAAAAGTGAGGACCTGTTTTTTAGGTCTAGACGCTGAAATGTATGTATAGCTATAATGAGATGGTTTCTGGGATTTGCTTAAAATAATTTCTGGAGAGAGAGACAAGGAGATGAGTACATGGAAGACCCAAGAGTGGCCATGAGTTGACAATTTCGGGAGCTGGATACTTTTACATGCATTTCAGTTTTTAAATAGGAAAACTGTTTTGTAATGATGACATAAAAAAAACAAATGTAAGAAGTTTTAATTCTTTATTTCTTTATTTCCAATGGGTTGTTTGGAGGTGGCAGCTTCAGGGTACAGCATTTTACGTGGGAGACCATTGCTCTAGTCCCTCATATGACATCATTTCTCATCCTGGGGCCTGTATGAGATGTGACCAACAGAAGGTTCTAGTCTGTCCAGGAACCACACCACCCAAATATGTCAGGGGCCGACAATGTCGCACAGCGGGTAAAACCATCATGTGGTATGCCAGCATCCCATATCAGAGCACAGTTCAAGTCTTGGCTGCTCTACTTTCCACCCAGCCCCCTGCTAATGTGCCTGGGAAGCCAACGGAAGATGGTGCAAGTATGTGGGTCCCTACCACCCCTATGGGGGACCAGGACTGAGTTCCTGCCTCCTGGCTTCAGCCTGACCCAGCCCAGGCTGTTGAAGGAATTGAACACGGGGAGCAAACCAATAAATGGTAGATATCTCTGTCTCACTCTGTCTCTGTCTTTCTCTGTGTCTTTCAAATAAATAAATCATATTTATTGCCAAATCGGCAGTGCCTGTAGCCTCGCACTCAGGAATTCCTTGCTTCTGTCACCAGCATCCCCTTTGGAACAATGAAAGGAATGTGCTTTTCAAGTTCCCTGCAGAAGGGAAGTTTCACACTGTTTAAAGGAGAAGAAGACTTGGCTTTTAAGAAAAAGGAGAAAGACAAAAACAAAAAAAACAAAAAACAACAAAAAAAAAAAAACTCCCTTCGTGAAGTCACAATCCTGCCAGCTCACTCGGATCATGAAATAATGCTGTTGGCAATGACATTGGCTGTTCTATCAGAGTCTCGGTAAACTTTCTCTCCCCTGGGCAGTATTTTATAGTTACTGCTTCTCCGCCCCATTGGCACAGACATAATTTATTATTTGTTTACATGTCTCACTTACTCTGCTAAGGTGGAAGCCCAGTGATGCATTCTTGCCGAGAGCATCAGTGAGCGTGAGAGAGCGAGCGTGCGTGTGTTCAGGAGCTCTGACAGTTCGGCGCCTTTAGCTTGTCTCCCCAGGGTTCCAGGACTCCTGGCGCTCTCAGGCTCAGATCCAACGGGTCCTAGGTCCCTGCAGTTCCTTCTCACGGTCCAAAGAGCAGGACCATCCCAGAGCCACACAGGCTCCCTGTGAACGTGACTCCATAGTCCCTCCTTTGATTTACCTTCCTCTGGCTGCTGGCAGGCACCTGTCACAGTTTGCACAACACTTTTCTTGAGACAATTGCACGAAGGAAATGGGGCAGGTGTTGTTACTTGCTCTTTATCTCCACATGAACCCCACAAAGGCCAAGGGCGTGTGCAAGTTCAAATAGCAGAAGAAGAATCCAGCCAGGGCAGTGCCCCGGGATGGCAGAGGAGTTGATATCGGACTATGGGGTGGCAATTATGATATCACTGTGTGCTTATTAATAAATTCCCAATATTAATAAGCCTGTGTGGGTTCTTGCCTAATATTCAGAGAAGAATTCTGAATACCAGCATAAAAGAACGAGGCAACATGATGTGTTTTAAGCTTTTATTCAGTGAGAGAAATGCATAGGAGAGTGAAGGCCCTATCTAAAAGACAGAGGGAAATCTGGGTACCGAGTACCAGGAGCCAGCCACGCGGAGGAGCTTGTGTGGGGGAGGCTGAATCCAGAGAGGCCTAGAGGAAACTTCCTGAGCCTGCCTCGAATTTGAAAACCTGTCTTTAAGCTTCACCCCAGCCCCAGGGCGCTTTAGCCTAAGGATCCTTAAGGTGGTATAATAGGAGTGGCTAAGACCCTTTTGCATCACCACACCCCACCCCTTGCCCGCATCCGCTCAACCGCTCTGTGCCATCCGCTCTACCTCAGCTATATATACACCTCCCTTTTACAATACAGTGAGACCCTGCTTGGACTGGGCTGCACACCGGGCCCGACCCCCCCCCCCCCCTGGTTTGGGGAAGGCTGAGTGGCGGGTGGTGCACTTCCCCTCCTCGGTCAAGGCAAGCTGCGGGCAGCCTGCCTAATTCTCCAGCAGTGGCGATGGCGAGGAACAGTCACCGCAAGCATGTAGGCCAGGAAGCTTGGGGCAGGTGGCCCGAAGGCTATGCACCCCGAAGGCACAGGGGCAGCGCGGGCCCACAGTGGCAGAAAGCAAAAAAAAAAAAAAAAAAAAAAAATGGACACCACAGGTGTGGCCAGGTAGGGACATGAGGTTACACAGGGGTGAGGTGAAGGCTTGGTCTTCCAGCTCCCAAATCTGATCAATTCTATCCTATATACCTGCCTACAACAGAGTGACTGTGGCCGCCACCCAGTTGCTCACTGCTCCTCATTAACAGGGGGCCAGACACTAAAGACTCGGTTTCTTTTCTACTAAAGATAGAAATAATAGTACTTACTGCATGGGGCTCGGTCAGAAATAGATTTTTTTAAAATGCTCAGTAACATGACTGATATGTAACAAATGTGCAATGATGTTAACAATGCTAGTGGTCTTTCCAAAGCATTATGCTTATTTATTAAAACTAATAGAAAACAATATTAATGGGAGACTCTTGTAATAATGATGATCATAATATAGCAACAGGTGGCTTACTGTGCACCAGGCATCATTTACAAGTCTTAACCCAATTATTCATCACAACAAATCTACAAGACACTTGTACTAGAATACAGTTATCTTTTCATTCTATTTTCCACAAACTTTTTTATTTGAAAGGCAGAGCAACAGAGAGACAGATCTTCCATTTGCTGATTCACTCCCCAAATGCCCACAACAGCCGGTGCTGGGCCACGCGGAAGCCAGGAGCCAGGAGCTCCAGGGTGGTAGGGGCACAGGTACTTGAATCATCACCAGCTGCCTCCTACATTACAAAGAAGTTGGAATCCGGAGCAGAGCTGTGCCTGGAACCCCGGGACGCAGGCCTCCCATGCGGCGTCTCAGCAGGGCCACCAAACTCCTGTACTTGCACAGGCCTTGTGAGCATCCTCGCACGTGGTAGTCCGTGCGCGTGGCAGGCCCCACTGTCACTCCCGTAGGATGGATGAGGAACACAGGGAGTCAAGCAGTCTGACAATTTCCTGGCCTCTTTAAAGAGCCAGCCACAGCGGAGGTCCTTCTCTGCTCTGCAGCTTTGGGGTCTTCAGTCACAAAGCCTGGAACTGTGACATCATCAGGCCCTCCCCTACCCCACCCCAGTCCTGGAGGAGTGCTCCCCACGCCTGGTTGTGCCTTTCACTCGCCCTGGACTTTCCCCTGGGACGGTCACGTTGACGGCTCTATGCGCCAGGTGGTCTTTGGGTGAGGAAACAAACCCAGGCCGGCAGGGATTGGGGCTCCACTCTCCCCTCTGCCTCCCTGCAGAGGCCCCTCCGCTCTGAGCAGCCTGCAGCCCCCCTGGGGGTTTCCAGGAGGCCTGGATCTCAGTGCTGAGTCCTTGCCCGGGTCTGGGCATTGCAGCACCAGAATTCTCAACAGGGGGCGCCCGCGAGCCCAGACGGCGCCCGCGCGCCTGGCTCGCGTCCTTCGGGGCTCAGGCTGCAGGGAAGGGCTTGGAATTCAATCCTCCGCATTCCAGCCAGGGTTCCTGTGACATAATAAAGCCCAACGAGGGCTCTCGAGTGACTGGTCAGCAGAAGCCCGGGCGGGATTTTCTATAGATAGCCAGGGTGTGTCTCGGGCCGTGTCCCTCTCCGCAGGGGGAAAGTTCTTTTACGCTTGGGCCGGGCCGCGCCGTGCGCAGCAGGTGCGTGGGGTGGAGCCGCGCCGGGCGCGGGGCTCAGAGAGCTCGGCAAGACCCGGACACGTGTGGCGGCGGGGCCGGGGGCGCAAGGAGCCCAGGCCGGCGCAGGGAATTCCAACTATGGCGCTCGGGAGAAGACGCTTTAGCTATTTGCCCTCGCTGACCGCACCCCATGTTGGCACGGCTGCCGCGGCCAGGAGCTGTCCCAAACACCGAGCCTCGCGCAGCCTTTGATGCGGGCTCCGAGGGAGGGGACGATGGGTCTGGAATGTTGGTTTGCCCGGGATCTGCCGTCGCGCGGCCCGGCGGCGGGTCCCACGGGTGTCCACGACGGGGGCTTGGGTTGTGAGAGCTCTGTTTTCCTTCCCGATGGCTGAGGCGCCGCATTGCTTTTGGCCGCGTCACGGAGTCCCCAGCGCGATGGCAGTGGCTTTGATCGGTTTTCATCCTGTTTGCTGGCGGAGAGGCATTCTCAGACGCTGCGCGTGTATTTTACATGAACTAGTATCTAGGCTGCTGTGGGCTTTCGCCATGGCAGTGCATCGAAGGACTCGGGGCTGTTTGGGGTCTGCTGTGCGGTCAGAACCCCGAGGCGGCGTTAGTTCCTGGCTGGGGGACACGTCCACCTGCTGTCTCCTCCTCCCCTCCCGGACAGCCGGGCTCTGGGTTTGCCCACACACGGAGGGGGCAGCGGTGAGGCGGTGCCGAGCCTTCTCATCTAATCATTAGCTTCAGGATGAACTCATTAGAGGCGGACTATTGTCCTTGTTAATTCTAAGAGCACTGAGGTCACATAGCCTGGTTCTGAGCACTTGGCCTTGAAGCTGTGAACACTTGGGTACATTCCCCCAGCCCCACGCGGGCCTCCATGTACTCATCCGTTGCTCGGTGGCTGCTGATTCCTACCTGGCAGAGTTGTTGAGAGGATTAAATGCCATCGCACCTGATGGAGCGCACGGATTTAATAACCTACAAAGGGCCCTGTGCGGCGAGCCCCCGGAACTGTCAATCAATGACGGCTTTATTATTAGCGCCACTGCCCAGAGCAAAACATCCTGGAGACTGGGCCTGACACCCTGAGGGTCCAGGAATCTGGACCGCTTCCAGCACCAGCCTCTCCTTTCAGCCCTGAAATTCCTCGCATGCTCCGCATTTGTGAATTGTATTATTCGCAGCGGGAGAGTGAGGGGTGGCAGCCCTCGCCCCGTCTGGAATCCCAGACACACCTCTGCGAGGCTGACCTGGCACAGCTGCCCATACACACAATTTGGGAAACAAGAAACAGACCCTAGGGCAGCTCCTTAATGTGTCTGTCTCGGAGCAAGAGAAGCTGGGGTTCTCTGCCTGCCAAATCCCTGTGCTCTCTGCCCCCACGCCCAAGGGAGATGCAGGGAGCCTCCCACGCTCCCTCGCAAGGCTGTTGTCCGCCCGTGCTGCAGCTGAGGGTCTCTCTGGAGCTGGAAAGACAGGACTTGTCTGTAAGGAGGCCTGAGCTTGGTAAAGCCCAAGTGGGAGCTTGCTTCCCGCCTGTCAGCTGGGGGACCTTGGACTAGCAGCTCAGAGTTCGCGAGCCCCGGATGGGAAGGTGTAGGGTAGAAGGGGTTAACCCCTGTGAGATGCCGGGTTCGGTGTGGGGCACAGGGCGGAGCCAAGGCTGCTGCGTTTCAGAGGGAGGCGCACGCTGGCCACAGGAGTCGCCCTCCCAAACAGCCTCCTTTCCAGAGCCTTCTCCGAGCACACCGAATAGATGACCCGAGAAGAGAAGAGGCACTTTAGGGATCCAGAGAGTGCTGTTCACTACCAAGGAGGAAAGAAATTTTATCTCTGTAAGGAAAGGGGGCACAGAGCAGAGAGGTGACGGGATATGAACTCACAGCCAAACTGAATGTAGTAGCAGAAAACTAACTCGCAGAGGTCGACCAGCTGCCAGCGTGTGCGCACAGCAAACAAGTGGCAGAAGGCCCAGGCTCCAGCAGGCTGTGCCTTTTTATAATCTTAGGTGGGCTAGGGTCCCCAGGGGCGGGGGGCCATAGGCTGGAGGTGAGCTCCTCCATGCAGATTTTTCAAGTTTTTTTGGGTTAGGGCCCCCAGGGGTTGGGAGCCATAGGCCGGAGGTGTGCTTCTCCTTACAGATTTTTCAAGTTTTTCCGAGGGCTTTCAAACCTGGAGAAGAATACAGGGGGCCGGCGCCGCAGCTCACTAGGCTAATCCTCCACCTTGTGGCGCCAGCACACCAGGTTCTAGTCCCGGTCGGAGTGCCAGATTCTGTCCCGGTTGCCCCTCTTCCAGGCCAGCTCTCTGCTGTGGCCAGGGAGTGCAGTGGAGGATGGCCCAAGTCCTTGGGCCCTGCAACCCATGGGAGACCAGGAGAAGTACCTGGCTCCTGGCTTCGGATCAGCGTGGTGCGCCGGCCGCAGCGCGCCAGCCGCGGCAGCCATTGGAGAGTGAACCAAGGGCAAAGGAAGACCTTTCTCTCTGTCTCTCTCTCTCACTGTGCACTCTGCCTGTCAAAAAAAAAAAAAAAAAAAAAAAAAAAAAAAAAAAAAAAGATTACAGGGGTTGGGATAAGGAACAAATCGTGGTATGAGACTGAACTGGGGTAACAAGAACCCAAAATGACTGAGGCTTCTGTTCTTGTTCCATCGATCTCAGAAATGATTTTTGAAACAATAATCTGGTTACCCTATACCTCAGCTCCACCATGCATACCCGGACGTCCTAGTTCATCAGGAATAGCATTCAGAATATTGAAATGTCTCTTGTCAAAGTCTATTTCTTTTTTTAAGATTTGTTTATTTGAAAGTCAGAATTAGAGAGAGAGAGAGAGAGAGAGAGGTCTTCCATCCACTTGTTCACTCCTCAATGGCCACAATGGCTGGGGCTGAGCCAGGAGTCAGCAGCTTGTCTGGGTCTCCCACGCGGGTGGCAGAGCCCAAGCAGTTGGGCCATCTTCCGCTACCTTCCCAGGTGCACTAACACGGATATAGATCAGAAGCAAGATTGGAACCAGTGCTCATTTGAGATGCCAGCATTGGCGATGGTGGCTTAACCTGCAGGACAGCAAAGCTGGCCCCAGCAGATCATTATTAAATGAGAAGAGGTGGCATGTGTCCCCACCGCCCACCCAGGCTGCTGGTGGGGATTTTCCTTTGCAACGCACTGACTGTCTATCCTTGTCAGCTCAGGATTTGAGCTGGATTTATGCAATTTCAAGCTCTTTCTACTTATTTTATGCTGCATTTTTCTCTGGACCTCTGCTCTGCTGACAAATGTTTTCTTCTCACCTATGTGAGGGAACCTAGTCATGTTTAGGAACAGCAAATGTAGGTGAATCTCTTTGAGGTCAGCCCTGCAGCTGCCAAGTGCCCAGAGCAGATCTTTGGTGAGAAAGAACCCCAGCAATGGAGGAAAAGAAGTGTCGATTTGCTTGTTTTCACCTCTACAGCAGATTCTGTTCCTGTTGGGTCCTGCGTAGTTCCCCATTGAACCTACGCTAGCTTTCTGTCATGCTCGGCATCCCAGAAATGTGTGGTCTAAGTTCAGGTTCAGAGAGGCTGTCAGAGGGATGTGGGGGAGTGGGGGGCCCGTAGAGGATGGATTCCCCTCTTTTTAGTGTCCTGTAGTTTGGATCATGACATGCCCCCGGGGTTAAGGGTATGATGTATAGTAAATCCTGCAGGGCAAACAAAGGTCAGTGTAAAAGATGTCACATAAAATAGCCCCTGCATACTGTTTTTAGATTATAAGTCCCAAAGAGGCTGGGCGCCTCGGCCCCCACTTAACCTGCTTTGTATTATCTTCATCACCATGTTCATGAAGAATACACGTTATGAAAAAATGATACATGGATGTCACAAATTTTTGCACCAAAATTATCCTTGAATTTCTTTTTTCTTAAAGATTTATTTTATTTATTTGAAAGACAGTTACAGAGAGAGGTAGAGACAGAGAGAGAAGTCTTCCATCTGCTGATTCACTCCCCAGAAGGCTGTAATGGCCAGATCTGGGCTGATCTGAAGCCAGGAGCCAGGAGCTTCTTGGTCTCCCATGTAGGTACAGGAGTCCAAGGGCCTGGGCCATCTTCTACTGCTTTCCCAGGCCATAGCAGAGAGCTGGATCGGAAGAGGAGCAGCTGGGACTTGAACCATTGCCCACATGGGATGCTGGCACTTCATGCCAGGGCTTTAACCCACTGCACCACAGCACCAGCCCCGTTTCAGCTTCTTTTTTTAATGAGCTTTTTAAAAAATATTTATTTAGTTTGAAAGAGTTGGGGGTGGGGAGAGACAGCAAGAGAGGGCTTCCATCCCTTGGTTCACTCCCCAGATGCCCCCAACAGCCAGGGTGAGCCAGACCAAAACCAGGGGCCAGGAGTTTTATCGGGGTCTCTCACATAGGTGACAGGGGCTCAAGGACTTGGGCCATCTTTCCCAGGCACATCAGCAGAGAGCTGGATCAGAAGCAGAGCGGCCAGGACACAAACTGGTGCCCATATTACAGATGCTGGTGTTGCAGGCAGTGCCTGGACCCACCATGCAGCTGTGTCACAACATTGGCCCCCTTCCTGAGCTTTCTGGAGTAGCCTCATATAGGCTGAAAAATAAATAGGATTAGACACTGGATAACGATGGTGGAAAACCCACTCAACTGGGGTTGTTTGCCTCTGTGTGTGTAATGAGCCAGTGTGTTTCTTTTGTAAGTCTCTTGGCTCCTCCGGGTGTCAGTTAAATATATTTTATTGCCCTCCTCCAACTTTTTAACCATCAGAAAATTGGGGGACACCCTTCCCATTCCTTTACTTCACACGTATTTACCGAGCATTTACTGTGTGCCAGAGACTCCACTAGGAGTTGGGATGTAATTGTGAGAAAACGCGGAGCAATGCATGCCCGCATGAAGCTTATAGTCTATTGGAAAGGGAGACTGAAATGAATGATCATGCAAGTAGAAATACAACCGTGACCTGTGCTAAATGCTCAGCAGGAAAACAGGAATTCGTACAAACCTCATTAGGGACAGGGCAGCAGACAGAAGATGCACGCTTGTAATTTTAATGGCCTTTGATAAAACATAAAACAATAGTTACTGTCAAGCAAACAGTGCATTAAAATTATTTGTGTTTTATAAATCACTTCAGCATCTCTACACGTGTAGAAAATGGTCATTTGTATGATGGTACTTCAAGAAGTTTATGGAAAAATGGAATTAAAGATAACATTATTTTGGTTTAAAAATGTTTTTAAAGATTTATTTATTTATTTGAAAGGCAGAGTTACAGAGAGGCAGAGGCAGAGAGAGAGAGAAAGAAAGAGGGGGGGGGTGTCTTCCATCCGCTGGTTCACTCCCCAATTGGCCAAACCGCTGAAGCTGCACCGATCCGAAGCCGAAGCTTCTTCCGGGTCTCCCACATGGGTGCAGGGTCCCAAGGACTTGGGCCGTCTTCTGCTGCTTTCCCAGGCCATAGCAGAGAGCTGGATGGGAAGTAGAGCAACTGGGACTCAAACTGGCACCCATATGGGATGCCAGCACCATGGATGGAGGGAGGCTTAACCTACTACGCCACAGTGCTGGCCCCTTTCCACAAACTTTCTAAAGTACTCTGATGTGTCTGAGTTGGCTTATTATTCACTCCATAGATTCTTTGTATACAGGGACACCTGACATGCTCTGGACTCCGCAAACTCTAGTCTCCTAGGGACTGGGAACCACTTAACCAAAACCTCGGTCATCTCCTATTGCCTCTATTGGCAACTTGCAGGGTTCCTCAAGAGAGATTTTTTTTTTTTTGACAGGCAGAGTGGACAGTGAGAGAGAGAGACAGAGAGAAAGGTCTTCCTTTGCCGTTGGTTCACCCTCCAATGGCCGCTGCGGCTGGCACGCCGCTCTGATCCGATGGCAAGAGCCAGGTACTTATCCTGGTCTCCCATGGGGTGCAGGGCCCAAGCACTTGGGCCATCCTCCACTGCACTCCCTGGCCACAGCAGAGGGCTGGCCTGGAAGAGGGGCAACCGGGACAGAATCCGACGCCCCGACCAGGACTAGAACCCCGTGTGCCGGCGCCGCAAGGCGGAGGATTAGCCTAGTGAGCTAAGAGAGATCTTAAAGAAAAAAAATCATTCCCCAATCAGTATTCCCATCAACGTTGAGTGAAGATTGGGGTAGCTCCCTCCTCTAGGGAGGCCAGCACATTGACTGGTGCCCCCAGTCAATCCAGACCAGATGTTCAGGCCATCTCCCACCACCATGCCAAGTCCACTGGCCTCCAGTCTGATGTGATGTGGCTCAAACCCAGTGTTCATAAACTGCACAAGCTCCCTCAACAGGAAGAGGAGGAGGCAAGGGCCTCGTTGGCTTTGCCCTCCTCGCCCATGAACCTGCATGTTGTCAGTCTGTATTTCATTGCTCAGTGCTCCACTAGGTGATTATATGTTACATCCCAGGAGAAAATACCTATTTCTTTCACAATGGCCTCCTAGCTACATAAATGGCTGTACATATTTGATTTGTTCCCAGATTATAGTCTTTAAGGCTTTCTGTCAACCTCCCCCTTGGTAGTAGATATTTTCGGTGTTCCAATCCTTCCTGGTTAACCAGGGAGCAATGGATTCCAATAAGTTGGGTCCAGTTTGGGAATGCTTCCCTTTAATAGGCAAAAATCACCTAAAGATGGGTAAGGAATTCAAATTCCACTTGTGGCTGTCTGTTCTTTCCAGGAGAAGGAGGGGGAGAGGAGATTTAATTGATGCCAGGCACAGGACTGAACTTGAGGTAGTTCAATGCCTTCCCTGGCGCAGATGCATAGTGAAGGAAAGTCCTTGTAGTGTTGGCAATGCCCCACTTCAACCCCTAATCCCCAGTGGGCATCTTTATCAAGTAGCCCTAGGGTGATGGCTAGCCCAGTGGGCCTACACTCACTGTTTGCTCCACTTCCCATCCAGCCCTCAGCTGTGGCCTGGGAAAGCAGTGGAAGATGGCCCAAGTCCTTAGGCACCTGCACCCATGTGGGAAGCTCTTGGCTTCGGATTGGCACAGCTCCAGCCATTGCAGCCATCCGGTGAGTGAACCAGTGGATGGAAAACCTCTCTCTCTCTCTCTGCCTCTGCCGCTCTGTAACTCTGCCTTCAAATAAATAAATAAATCTTTAAAAAATTATATCTTTAAAATAAAATAAAATAAAGGGTAGATAGTTCTGGAAGAGTGTAAGCCAGACAAATCACTGAACCAAGCAAGGCACAGAAAGAAACCTCCAAACATACCAGGAGCCAGAGACTGAAGGTAAAGACACAAAGGAGGGCAAGCCAGAGAAGTCAGACAAGAGGCAGGAGGGAGGTGTGGGCTCAGGGCTGTCTGGGAGCCCGCTGTCTGCATCTGCTCCGTGTAACTAGCCCTTGTGTGGCAGCATGATGGAGACGCATTTCTAATCATATGGCACCAGCTGTGAATGTAGATACACTGCAGCTGCGTGCTCCTACTGCAAACTGGCGACTCGCTCACCTTGCAAACTCTCTGGGCTCACCTCCTTTCTGGAGGTAGTGCTCCTGTTCATTTTCACATATCTTTGCATTTAGAATAGAGTTTTAAGATACAACATCTGAAGACATTGCAAACGTGGAATGTGCACTTTAACTGTCCTGTAGGCTATTTCTGTTTTTACTTAGATTTCATCAAAGTCTCAAATAGGATTTGAAGTGATTAAGGACTCCTAGATGGCTTGTGAGGGCACACAAATGGAAGAGTGGAAGTGGGGACCTGCCCCGCACAGGGCTGTGTGGCTCACACTCCTGTCTATTCCCTCCCCACCCAGTTGCTGGGAGTCAGACCCTCTGGTGTTGGAAGGCCTGGGTCCAGATCCCAGCTCAGCCAGGGGACTGTGTGATGGGCAGAACTGGCCTCCCCTGTCTGGGCCTCTGATTTCTCTCGCTTTATTGTAATCAGATTCTGTAATCAGTGTTGGTATTTCAATGACATGGCAGTGACACACGATTCCAGGACCCACACTCGGATTTTATCAGTGACTCACGTGCATGATTACAATATCAAATAGCCCAAAGGTCTTATAAAGTAACAAAATGACCCCCTTCACTCACGCTTCCCCAACTTCTTTTGGCTTCCCACAGATGATAGCCTTCAGTCAGTTTCTGTTTTTAGTTTTTCTTGTGGTTTCTTCTCCACCTCCAAAGAGTTTGTTTACAGGGCTGTATCTTCATCAACTTTAGTAGACATTATCTATAGCCACTTCCTTTAAGGTTAGATAAAGTCTTGTTTCATGTCCCCCACTCCCTTGAAAGTTTTAGCTATTTTAGTTTCTCTATTATGGTTGTAACTATTGACAAACCTCTAATTCTTATTCCATCAACAGTCAACAATACCTTTGACTTCTCATTCCCTGAGATTAAGTCAGCACCCAAAGTCCTTTTACTCTGCCTCTCTCCTTCCTTCTACTTCCTAAATCCTATCTCTTCTGTAACCACAATTAAGTTTCCTCTGCTGTGTTTATACATTGATTCTAAAAACTGAAAACCAGAAAAGAGTGCTCATATTAGGACTATATAAATACAGTTAATTATAGAGTCAGTATTATGCATTGATTACATTTCTTCATTATAGTTCTAATGTCATGACCCCAGTGCCAATCAAGGCAAAATGTTTCTAGCACTAAGGGACAAATAGAGCCTTCTTTCTCACACTCATCTGGTTGCTCAAAATAACACCAATAACACCACATTTTAGTTTAGTTTCTATGTGGACTATGACTTATTTGTACAATCTTTTGTTTTTCCTGGAGTTTTGGATTGCCTTTTTTTCCCTGTTGATAGAAGAATTATGAGGTTACTTCAAAAAGTTGGGAAAAAATTGAATTCAAAGATAAGTTTATTTTGGTGCAAAAATTTTTTGAATTTGTGATTAATTTTTTCATAATATGCACTTTTATGAACTTTTTGAAGACCCCTCATTTATGCCTCAATTATCATAGTCACCTTTTAATCATTCTACTTATTACTTGGAATCCATTCCATTCTCATGGAAAAAAATTTAAACTTTTATATATTCATTTGGAATGCAGAGAGATAGACAGATTTCACATCCACTGTTTACTCCCTGAATGTCCACAATAGCCAGGACTGGGCCAGGCTGAAGCCAGGAGCCAGAAACTCAAGGCAAGTCTCCCTTGCAAGTGGCAGGGATCCAACCACCTGAGCCATCACCTTCTGCCTCCCAGGGTGCACATTAGTAGGAAGATGAAAGAGGGAAGTGGAGTCAGGACTCAAATCTAGACATTCTGATGTGAGATGTGGTTATCTCGAGCAGCACCCTTAAAATTATGCCGAACACCTGCTCCTAAAACATTTTTCTTGGAATCTATTGATACTCTGTTTTAATCTGAGATAGTTACTTTCTAGGTCAGCTGACAACTGGCATCTAGAAATTTTCTGGGTGAATTCAATCATTTCTTTAATATTTTCCATTTTCTGGGATTTTGCCTTAGTGATCACACTGAAGTAACTTCTTAAGGATATATATATATATATGTATATATATATATATGTATATATATATAGGAGTAAACTTGCATTCTTGTTATCTGAAACTGTCTTTGGTGTGTGCTCATATTTGAATGCTTATTTAGGTTGATATAAAATAATTTCAAAATTATTTGTTCTTAGGACTTTTTAAAAATTGTATGCATTTGTTGAGGGGTGAGTGTGGAATAGAGAGCTCCCATCCCCTAGTTCACTCCCCAAATGCTCACGAGAGTTGGGTCTAAGCCAGGGCTGAAGTCAGGAGCCGAGAACTCAATTCAGGTTTCCCACAGGGGTGGCACAAGCCAAATTACTTGAGCCTCCACTGTTGCATCCCTGGGTATGGATTGGTAATAAGCTGGAGTCAGTAGCCAGAGCTGGGTATCAAACATTGGTGCCTTGATATGAAATTCAGGGATCTTAACCACTTAGGCTGAACACCCACGTCCTCTCGGAACTCTTAAGGACTTTATTCTACTGCATTTTGGCATATGTGATATGGATTAGAACTCTGATGCCAGTCTGATTCTCTTTCCTTTGTGGGGAATTTCTCTTTGGAACTTCTTAGCATCTTCTGATGTCTGGCGCTCTGCAATTCCACAGTGAGGAGGTCTGCAAAAGCATTTTTTTTCTTTTTCCTTGCTGGGAATTTGGTAGCCCTTGTGTTTTGGTAGTTCCAAGCCTTTTCTTCTATGTCCTCGTTTCCATTCCCATGGGCTTTCATTGTTCTCTGTCTGGAACTCCTGACAGTCAATGCCAGAAACCATCTTCTGTGCCTCTTTCCTTCCCAATTGCTCTCTTGTTTTCCTCTGTGTTCTGAAAGACTTTCCTTAATTTATATTCCATCATTTCTATTAAGCTTTTGATTTTGGTGGTAGGCATTTTGTCTAGTGGTTAAGATACCCGTGTCCCACAGTGAGGTGCCTGGAATTGATTCCAGCTTCCTGCTAATGAAGGTTGCAGTGATGATGCAAGTGTTTGGATCCCTGCTACTCATGTGGGAGACCTGGATTGAGTCCCTGGCTTCTGGCTTTGACCTGACCCAACCGTGGCTCTAGCAAGCTCCCAGTGGTTGAGAGCCAGCTCTCTGTCTGTCTTTCTGTGTCTCTCTGTCTCTTCAATAAATACAAAAAAAAAAAACACCAAAAAATTAGAAGAAAAGAAAAATCAAATGTTCTCTTCTCATATTCTTTTTGAATTAGTAGCAGTCCTTAGATGGGAACCAAGGTACAGGTTTCCTAGCACTTAAGGCCAGGACCCATTCTGAGTAGTTCTGTCTGCTCTGATTGGTCGGCAGTGCTGTACTAGGTAAATGTTTTAAATATCACCTCTATTTAAAATATGGATTATAATGGTCTGTTTCTTAGGCATAAATGCTAAGGTAAATGATGTCTGTTAATGTCAATAAGAAAAAATTAATAACAATTTTGATTTTCTTCTGGTGGATAGCATGCTTTTTTTTTATATACCTCTAAGAGCAGGACGTAATACCTGACAATTTGCCAGCACCAACAGGCAAACATAAACTAAAATATCAAAGGATATAAATTGTATAGTCAGAAAATGCAAAAAAAGACAAAATTAAATATCACACATTGACAGTCTCCAAAAAATAAAATAGATTAAAAAGGTATTTGTGAGTCTTTATAAAATTCTAGTGAAATGTAAAGAACACAGTGCTTTTTTTTAAAGACAATAAAATATGTCTTGCTGTTAGTCATAGTATGTATAATAGCTAACCTTCCTTTTTGTGTGCCAGGGTCTATTTTAAGTATTTTACTTCCATCAGCTAGGTTTTTCTCCACAATGGATGTGAAGGGCTATTATCACCCATTTTCAGATATGAGCCCTTGAGCCACATGACCTGATCATCTTTCTGGTGTTAGAAGTATTCACTTGCTTTGGAATTAGAAACAGAAATTATTACTCTCTGTCTATTTATCTATCTATCCATCTATCTATCTCTGTGTTTTTGATGTAGTTATTTCTCCCTACTTTATTTATTCTTAATTGACAAATAAAAATTATATGTATTTATCATGTACAATATAATATTTTGAAATAGGCATACATCATGAAATGGCTGAATTTGGCTTATTAATGTATGCATTATCTCACATACTTCACTTTTGTGGTGAGAGCATTTAAAATCTCTTCTTGGTGATTTTCAAGAATACGTTGCAACTAACTGTAGGCACTACATTGTACGATAGAGCGCTATCCGCCTCCAGCTACTCCAATAACCACCTGTGTACACTACTTATCTGAGCTCAATCTCCTTAGAGTCCACATATGAATGCCATCATGTGGTATTTATCCTCCCATGTCTGCGTTATTTCTCTCAGCACTATGTCCTCCATGTTGCTCCAGGTTGTGAAAAATGATACAAATTTCCTCCTTTGTAAAGAATGAATGGGATTCCAGGTTGACTTCCTATTTTGAATTGTGAATAACGTTGCAATGAATTTGAGAATGCAGATATCTTGTGCACATACTGATTTCATTTCCTTTGAATATATACCTAGAACTGAGATTGCTGTATTATATGGTATCCTATTTTGAATATTTTAAAGAAGTCTCATAATGTCTTCTCTAGTGGTCATACCAATTTAGAGTCCCATCAAAACTACACAAGGATTCTCTTTTCTCCACATCCTCACCAGCCCATTCTAACTGGGGTCCTGTGATCTTTCACCGGGACTTTAACCTATATTTCTTTGGTGACTAGTGATTGAAAATTTCTTTTTTTTTTTTAAGATTTGTTTATTTGAAAGTCAGAGTTACACAGAGAGAGGAGAGGCAGAGAGAGAGAGAGAAGTATTCCGTCTGATGGTTCACTCCCCAATTGGCCACAATGGCCGGAGCTGCGCCGATCCAAAGCCAGGAGCTTCTTCCGGTTCTCCCACGTGGGTGCAAGGGCCCAAAGACTCAGGCCATCCTCCACTGCTTTCCCAGGCCATAGCAGAGAGCTGGATCAGAAGTGGAGCAGCCAGGTCTTGAACTGGTGCCCATTTAGAATGCTGGCCCTTCAGGCCAGGGCATTAACCCACTGCGCCACAGCAGCCCTGAGAATTTTTTTTACATACATGTTGGCAATTTTTATGCCGTCTCTTGAGAAATGTCTACTCAGGTCCATTTTTAAATAAAATTGTGTTCCTGTTATTGAGTTCAAGTTCTTGTTTGCAAACATCTTTTGTCTTTCCTTGGGCTGTCTCTTCACCCTGTTGAGTGTTTCCTTGACTGCACAGAAGATTTTTAGTTTGATGTAACCTCATTTGTCTAATTTTGGTTTTGCTGCCTGTGTGTTCAGGGTCACCTTCAAAATGTCATTGTCAAGACCAATGTCATAAAAAAATTGCTGCTGTGTTTTCTTCCAGTAGTCTTACAAGTTCAGGTTTCACATTAAGTTTTTAATCTATTTTGAGTTGATTTTTGTCTATGGGGTGATCCAAAAGTCTAAATCCCACCTTTTACATGTAGATATTCAGTTGCCCCAACACCATTTGTAGAAGAGATTGCCTCTACCCAATATGTGTTCTTGGCATCCTTGTTGAAATTCAATCAGCTGTAAAAGTATAGATTTGTTTCTGGGCTTCCTACTTTGTTCCCTGGGTCTGTGTCAGTGTCTCAAGCCCTAGGCTGGCCCCTGACCAGCAGGGGCCACTACAGATACTCCCCAACAAGGCGAACGGGAGAGGTAAGGTCGACGGGTCAAACACACCACAGCAAGCACCCGTGAGTTCTGTCGAAGCAGAAACCGCTTTATTGAAGAAGTATGCAGGCTTACAAAGCTTACAAAAGACATGGGCAGTAGGGGAGCCAATCAGTGAAAAGGTCATGCAGGCGTGGGTGGAGCACACACAGGGGCACCTTAAGCAAAGTATAGGGATCATGCACTGTCCACGTGTCCAGAACTAAAGCAGACCTATCCCTGTTGGTGGTCTGATCTTATGTAGCTTAACCAAAGCAGCCACAGACACGCCCCTCGAACATCCGACAGGTGCCATATTGTAATGGAGACTTTAGGCAATGCCCAACAGGTCTAGGTATCTGTTTCCATGCCAGAACCATGCTGTTTTGGTTACTTAACGCTTGAGGGTATATTTTGAATCCAGTTATTATAATGCCTCTAGTTTTGTTCTTTCTGCTCAAGATCACATGGGCTGTTTGGGGGCTTTTGTGGTTGTGTAGAAATTTTAGGCTGTTTTTTCTAGTTTTGTGAAAAATGACCCTGGAATTTTGATAGGGATTGAAGGTGTAGATTTCTTTTTATCTTATGAATATTTTAACAATATTAGCTCTTCTAATCCGTGAGTGCAGGGTATGTTCCCATATATTTATTGAATTCATTGCTTTCTTCCATTATTATTTTGTAGTTTTCAGTGTACAGGTCTTTCACTTCTTTGGTACAATTTATTCTTTATGGTAACCATTGTAAATGGGATATTTTTTCTTGATTTCTTATTGGGATAGTTTGCTTTTGGTATACCAAGTACTACTGATTTTGTATGCTGCAGGTTTACTGAATTAACTTATCAGCTCTATTAGTTTTTAGTAGTGTCTTGGATTTTCTATACAGATGATTTTCTATATATAAGGTCATATCTGCAAACAGAAACAATTTGACTTCTTCCTTTCCTTTTTGGATGCTTTTCATTTCTTTCTCTTTCCTAATTTCTCTAGACTGCTAGGGCAATGTTGAATAAAAGTGACAAGATCGGGCACCCTTGTCTTGTTCCAGATCTTAGGAGGAATAGCTTACAACTTTTTGCTGTTGAGAATCATCTTAGTTGTGGATTGTTATATAGGGCCTTTATTATGTTTAGGTATGTTCTCTCTATACCTAATTCACTGAGAGTTTATTTTTTTTATAATGAAAGGAGTTAAATTTTGTTAAGTGTTTTTTACTGCATGGATTGAGATGATCACTATGGTTTTTGTATTTTATTCAGTTAATGCAGTGTATCACATTCATTGATTAGCTTATGTCAAACCATCCTTGTATCCCTAAGATGAATCCCACTTGATCATGGTAAATGATCTTCTTAATGTTCTGTTGAGTTGATTTGCTAATATTTTGTTGAGAATTTTCACATCTGTGTTCATCAGGGATATTGGCCTGTAATTTTATTTTCTTATATTATCCTTGTCTGGATTTGGTATTGGGGTAATGCTGGCCTTATAACATAAGTATTCCTCTCTTTGAATCTTTTGGAAGAGTTTTGGAAGTATTGATATTAGTTCTTCATAAATGTTAGGTAAAATTCGCCAGTGAAGCCATCAAATCCTGGGCTTTTCTTTGATGGAAGACTTTTTTTTATTATTACTGATTTGATATCCTTATTCATTATTAATCTATTCAGATTTTTCTATTGGTATGGAAAACTGGTGAGATGAGTCTGAGCTCATGTCCTGGTGTCGATGACAACTTATGAGACCGGACATAATGGTGAGAGTAGACGAAGTGAAGTTTTATTTAAGTAAGGAAAAGAGAAGCTCTGAACAATACTCTTGTAGAAAGAGAGACAGAGCAAGCCGGTGAGGTCTTGGGGTAGATCTATGTCCTTAACACATTATCTTCAAAGAGCAAATGCAGTGGTTATACATTAATTACTGTGAGGTCAAGGGCAGACTTACGGAGCCTTTTTGAATTAGTTTCTGCTGAAATCTAAGTCTTGTCTGTTGGCAGATATTTGTCACGATGGCTTTCCATCCTGTTTTGTTTAGTATGTATGTGCTGGCAATGAGCTGCAGGATGGAACCAGTATGGCCTGTTTCTAGTCCTGGGCTCCCTTGCTATTTCTCCATGATTCAATCTCAGCGGTTAGGTGTTTCTAGGAATTAATCATTTCTTGTTGGTGTATAACTGTCCCTGGTCGCCTCCTACCATTGTTGTTATTTCTGTAGTATCAGTTGTGATGTCTCCTCTTCTGATTCTTTCTGTTAGCATCCAGTTCTCACTTGTGGATGCAATCTTTCAAACCTTTCTGTGGTGTTGCATTCGTGGGTCTTGACTCACAAGAGATAGTCATGGTTCATATCCACCGTCTGGCATAGTTATTAATAGGTCCCATTGCTACTGTTGATTTGAACCCTGGGAACTTGTTCTTTTGAGGACGAAGAGTGTGGCAATGAAGGAGCAGGCAAGAGGGCGATTTGAGCATAGTTTATTGGGAAAAAGTGAAGAGACAGAAATTCCTGAACTCCATAGACCAGGCAGGAGTCCCAGTGAAGGACCGAGAGCCCAGTCTGTGTTCAGACAGGGGTTTTCCTGGACCTGAGTAGGGGGGGGGTCCCCATTTCTTCTCCCCTCCTCCCTCTTCTGGGAAAGTCTGGGTAGGGCTTTTAGGATGTGGAATTCCCCTGAACAAACCTCTCTGGACAACACTGGCCATCAGGATTGTTATCTGTTGGAGAATCAAATGACTTCTTCAGTCCAGTAGGGCCAGCTATACCGCTCCCTCATGTCAGTGACTGACTCCCTCTGATACAGGATAGGCGAGGACGCCTTGGGCTAAGGGAGACAGACAGAAGGCTGGATCCCGCTCTCGGAACTTGTGTCTTTGTTCCATTGCACATCAATTTCTTTTTTTTTTTTTAAGATTTATTTATTTATTTATTTTAGAGGCAGAGTTACAGAGGGAGAGAGAGCAAGAGTGACAGCGAGAGCGAGAGAGAGAAAGAGAGAGAGAGATCTTCTATCTGCTGGTTCACTTCCCAAATGGCCACAATGGCCATAGCTGGGCCAAACTGAAGCCAGGAGCCAGGTGCTTCTTCCAGGTCTCCCATGTGAGTGCAGGGACCCAAGGACTTGGGCCATCCTCCACTGCTTTCCCAGGCCACAGCAGAGAGCTAGATTGGATTGGAAGAGGAGCAGCCAGGACTCGAATGGGCACCCACATGGGATGTCAGCGCCACGGGCAGAGGATTAATCCACTGCGCCATGGCTCCAACCCCTCAATATAGTTATTAACTAGATATATTTACTAAGTAGAATTCAGTATTTTTACTTATTAAGTAAATTGTTTTAACATTCATGCTTTAAAATTATTGCAAAACCATTAAAAGACAAAGTATGCAAGTGTTTTCAGCTCATTAATCTCCCAGATAAAGAGCTTCTAAAAGTAAAAACAAAAACAAAATGCCATAGAGAAAAATAAACCAAGGACAAGGCACTGAGAACAAAATGCAAATGGCTCTTAACCACATGTCAAGGTGCTAAACCTCACTGGCAGCAAGATAAATGCAAAGCAAAAACCACAGTAAAATACAATTCCCCATCTAGCAGAGTAACACACATCCAAAAGGTTGACAGCCGTCTCTGTTGGTGAGGCTGTCCTCGTTTGTTGTTGGTGACAATGCAGACGATGCCCTCTGGGATGGGAAGACCTGTGGTAGCTACCCTAATCATGGAAGTGGTCACCAAGTCGCCTAGTTACCCCGCCTCTGGGAATCTACTCAACATACCTGACATATGTACACATTTATTACTTACAGCAATGCAAAGGCAAAGGGTTGGAAGCCATTCAAATATTAGTCAATGGGACTGCTTAAATCAATTATGGCACAGCAGGCAGTGGAATACTATGGAGCAGTGAAGAAAAACGCAAGTTCTTTGAATGTGGCTATGGGCGGAGTCTCAAGGTATTTTCTGAAGTGGGAAAAGCAAGCAACAGGACACATAGAATGCATTCTTCTAAGAATTCTTGTAAGAACACAGAGGATTCCAAAATATCTACTGGCATTGGCATGAAGAAAAATTGAAAGGATAAAGATATAGCCTCCTTGCAGGCTGGAGAGAGACTTCTCTTCTATTAATTTTTCAATCACGTACCTGACCTGCACATTGGAAAAACAAAATGTAATTTTAAAACTAAATGAGCATGGAGATGAAGAAGTCATTGTCATTTCCTAGTGTTTTACAGTGCCTGAAGGATCACAGATCCCACTAGAAGTCCCAGGCCTACAAACACATGGATGGGTTTCAGACTCACAGAATCCAGGACTGGAAAAATTGGCAAGGACCTAGCGGGTGGCTTGTTCCAGCTCCCTCATTTTTCAGATGAATAAGCTGAGGCTCACAGGGGTCTAGCAACTCGCCCCAGGTCACACAGTCATTCATCAAAGCCAGGTGTTACCCCAGCTGGTTGGTGTTCTACCACTAGTGCCCCCCAGAAAACTTAGGTGATAAGTGATGTGACATAGAAATCTCTATCACATGGCTTAAGCCAGAAACAAACATAATCAGTCCATTTATTTGTGGAATGCTAATGGAGTCCCGTTTTTTATGCTAGACCATATACTGGAGGCTGGAGCTACAACAAAGACAAGAAGTTCTCACCTGCCTCTTGCTAAACACACCCCATCTCTCATGGAGCACTCTGACCCGAGGGACAAGACCCTTTGGACATGGTGTGCCCTTGTCCGGGCTCCCCTTCTCCTCCCCTGGGGGGTGTTAGGACCTGCCTGGTCTCTAGTCCCCCAACTCTTGCCCTTGGCAACCAGAGGGCTTATGCTGGAAGCCATACTCTGGGTGGACTGAAGTCAGAATAGTGAGAGGGGTCAGAACATGCACCCCAAAATGTGACACCTTGGCATTTGAGAACATAGCTGAAGGCCACCGTCACCTCCCCCTTTCCCTTCCTCCCTGAATGAGGCCATAAAACCGAGCAAAGTCACTCTCTGACCTCTTCCTCCCTTCCCCCAACCCCCCACTGAAGCCTCTCATGTGGCAGGTGTCAAGCCCTCCTTTGAAAGGAAGAAGTATCATACAGGGACGTGGAGAAGAATCTGAAGTCACAGGCCTTGCTAAGATCCTCCAGCTTATAACCACAAGGTAATAGCCTTCTGTGTGCAAACACACTTCTGCACAACTGGCTGTGAGGATGCACAGAGCTCCCCAGTTCTTTGGGTGTTCGTTTCTGAAGGCTTCCACGTCATGCAAAACTTTTATTATATCAATTGGATGCCTTTCTCTTGTCAATCAGTCTTTTGTTCCGGGGTCTCAGCCATGAACCTTGTGAGACGGTGAAGAAAAGATGCTGTGTTTTCTCCTCTATAATAGCAAGGCCAAGTTTGCCGATTTCTAAGCTTGGGGCCTCAGGACGAAGGGGAACTCAGGTGAATTTGCAGGACATGCGAGACTCAACAGGTGGAAGGTGGTGGGTGGCCGGAGTTGGTGTCAGAGAGCTGCATCAGTCAGCCCGGGCAAGCTAACAACCCTCTGTCACAGTTCCTTTATGGAAGCTAGAGTTTATTATTTTTCAGTAATTTTATATTAAATTTTTATTTATTTTTATTTTTTTGAGAGACAGAGATCTTCCCATCAGCTAGTTCACCTCCCAAACACCGCCATTAGCTGGGTGAGGCTGAAACCAAGAGCCAGGAACTCCATTCCTGGTTGGTGTTCTACCACTAGTGGTGTTCTACTGCTACCTGCCATGTGGGTGACAGGGGCCCAAGCACTTGGCCCATCGTCCCTGCGTTCCTAGGCCCATTAGCAGGGAGCTGGATTGGAAGCAGCACTCTGGCACGGCATGCCAGCATTGCAAGTGGTGGCAAACCTGCTGTGGCACCACACCAGCCCCCACCTCCTTGAACACACACATATTTTAAAGAGAGCCCTTTGTTCACGGCAGTGACGGGGCAGGAGAGCTCACGCTGGAATAACGCGGTTTCCAGTGACATTGGCCCTGATCCATCAAGGGCACTGGGAAATTTGGAGAGCAGATTTCTTGTCCTCATAGTGATTGGGTGACTATTGCATTTAGCACTTCACTGCCCAAGACAGATCCCACCATGAGGAGTTGTCTGAGTCCCACACAACTTTGTCCCACTGGACAATAACGGAGGTGAATGTAGTCATCTGATTTTAGTCATCCGAACCTAGAATCTTCTTTTTTAAAAAATTATTTATTGATTTGCTTATTTGAAAAGCAGAGGACAGAAAAGGAAAGACAGAGAGATCTTCCATCCGCTGGTTCACTCCCCCAGGTACAACTGCTGGGGCTGGGGCTGGGCCAGGCTGAAGCCAGGAGCCAGAAACTCCATCTGGGTCTCCCACATTGGTGGCAGGGGCCCAACTACCTGGGCCATCTTCCGCTGCTTTCCCAGGCACATGGGCAGGAAGCTGGATCAGAAGCAGAGCAGCCGGGACTAGAACCTGTGCTGAACACTTGAACACACAACAGTGCTGAACTTGAACGCCGGCTTCTCAAGGGGCCTCTTCACTCAGGGTGCCGCGCTGCCAGCCCCTTAACCTAGAACCTGAGCAAGCCCAAGGTTTTAGGTTTTTGTTTGTTTGGGGGGTTTGCTTTCGTTTGTTTTATAGTTACAGTTAACACGGTTAAACAATTTCCAGAGAATGTTGGGGTGGGTGTTTTTCCCAGCAGTTAAGACAGCAGCGACACACATAGAAGCAGCTGGGTTCAGTTTTGGCTCTAACTCTTGACTCACCAGCTTTCTGCTAATGAAGAGCCTGGTGGGCAACAGTGAGGGCTCAAGTAAGTGGATCCCCGCTCACAGGGGAGACCCGGGTTGAATCCTGGCTCCCGGCCTTGGCCCCAGGCAGGAGCTGCTGCAGGAATTTAGGGAGCGAACCAGCAGATGGGAGCTCTCTCTCTCTCTGTGTCTCTGCCTGTGAAAAAGAGAGAGAGAGAGGGACGAAGGAAGGGAGGCAGGAGGGAGGGAGGGAGGAGGGAAAAGGGAAGGGAAGAGAAGTGGAGGGAAGGAAGGGAATTAAAGGAAGGGGAGGGGAGGGGAGGGGAGGGGAGAGGAAGGGAGGGGATGAGGGAAGGAAACGAGGGAGGGAGGGAGGGAAGAAAGAAGGAGAGAAGGAAGGAGGGAGGGAGAAAGAAAGAATACAAAGAATGCAACTGCTATGTAAATCAAGGGAAGGCAAGGGAGGGTTCTTTATTTTGCTTGGCACTTGAACAAAGGACTGTTTGATGCCCTAGCACAGTCTTACCAGCAGCTGCTTCACGCTCATGGGGATTTCACACAGGAGTGTCCACGCCCTTCCTGGTGTCTGGTCACCTGCATGTTCCCATGTACACCATTTTATTGTAAGTTACTCTCCTTCCACTTCTCCTAAATATTGTAGTTGGGGAAGATGTTGATTTCCTTGGAATTATGTATGCACAGACATTATACCACCTATGAATTCCACCTTGTGAAAAGCGCCTTAGTTTTTCTGTTGCCAATAGCACCACACCACAGACTGATTTGTTTATAAAGAAAAGAAGTGTGTTTGGGCCATGGTTCCTGTCCAAGGTTGAGGGGCTGCATCTTGCAATGCCCATCTTTTTGGTAAAGATCTGAGATGGTGGAGGGCTTCACACAGGGAGAGACAGGGAGTGTGTGTGTGTGTGTGTGTGTGTGTCCTGGTCTCTTCTAACAAAGCCACCCATGTTCGATCATGGGGACTCCTGCCTGTTGATTTTATCTAATATCAATCATGTCCCTCCCAACACTATCAGCAGATTCAATTTCCACCCTCTGCATACCCCTCAATGGGATTAAACTCCAACATGCTTTCTAGGGGACAAACCACCTGCAGAGCATAGCAGGAAGGTAAGAGGTGTACTGAGTAGTTGTTTTTGAAAGGGGCATCAGATCTGAAGGGTCAACGAGTTGCCTCTCGTGCCCATCCACAGAAGGAAGCAACGTGGGCACAACCGACCCACTGTACAGTGTTGAATGTGCCCACCCAGCAAGGACAAAGCCTGCCCCGTCACAGCCTGGCTTAATTACCAGGTTGCAGATAATGATCAGGTTGCTGCTGTACCCCACAAGCAGCTGCAGGAAATCAGCCTGGCGGAGGGCACGCTTTGCTCTGAGGCGCTGGAGTCAACTTTGGCTTTGATTTGTAAGAGCTGGCAATCGCACTGAGTCTATGATGGATCAACAGAAGTCTTTCCATTTGCAAAACACCTGGGAAAACTTCCTAATAGCCTACCACACAATTGGCACTTTATGAATATGTAACAGAAATACAATTTGATAGAAGTAGGAAATTCTGGTCTGTTTTTTTTCCCTGGGTTTTAGAGGAATGCTGATGAAATTCAGCACCTCTGGCTTGAATTTTCAACCATAGAGATGTTCCTGGATAAATCTGTCATCATCATCACCATCATCATCATCATCATCATGGTCATCATCACCCCTCCCCCCCCCCGTTTTTCTGAGTGTCTAATTGCCATGTATTACAGTGGTGAGTGACATTGCTCATCCTGTTAATGCTCAATGCAATCATTACCATTTTTATTCCCCAACTCATGCAACATTCAACAAATGCCTATGGAGCCTGTAACCTGCTCTGTGCCAGAGACTGTGCCAGGAATGAAAGAGGAGTGATTCCCACTCTCACAGAGTTCACGGATTCTGGGAAGAAATGGACATTAATAAATAATTACACAATTATGTGTGCAGTTATAGCTGATTTAATTATGAAAAAGGAGAAAAATTATTTGGATACCCCATAGGCATAGGTAGCAGAGCTCATCATCTTTGCCTTTTAACCCCAAGCTTACTTGTCTCCCAAAATTCAAGCTTAGTTATTGCACTTCAGAAAACTGAGTCATCCTACAATTACTTTGTGCTTCTCAGCCCCGATTCCCAATTAATCAGTGGGTACTGCTAGCTTTACCTCCCAAGTGTTTTTCTAATGTGTTCCTCTCTATCCCCATAACTCCCTCTATCACCCACCTGGACACCTGTGACAGCCTTATAACAGATGGCCCTGCCTTTATGCCTGGCCCTACTATTGATTAGGATTCAGTTGCAGAGAACAGAATCCCCTCTATCCAGTTTAAGCAAAAGGTGATTTGTTCCAAGGTATTAAATGGCTTACAGAATCATTGGACACCTGATGAAACAGGCAGAGCTTTGGAAAATGGCTGCAGAGCATGGACATAAGGAAACTGCTGCCTCTTTTACAGTCAGAAATCTGCTTGCCAAAGAGAGAAACGGATGCTCCCACTGCCTGCCCCTGAGCCACACCTCTGCAGCCGCACCCAGGGTGCCAGCGCGATGGGGAAGCCAAGACACTGAAGAAGCAAGCCACGGTGAGAAGAACCAGGGTCATGAAACCACAGCGGGAAAACCCAGTGCCCCATGAGTGAGCTGGCCCAGCGCCAGCAGGTGCACCACCTCATTCTACCTTCCAGATCTGGGCAAATGCTTCCCATTGAGAGCACCTAACTCACATCCAGAGCCCTTGCTGCCACAGAGCCATTTGGGCTTTCCTGCTTCTGCAGAACTGCAGTATGGGAAGACTCCCTGGAAGGTGACTGGACAAGAGTACTTTCATAAAATTCGAGAAAAATGGGATTAAAATGTAAGGTTATTTTGGAGCAAAAGCTTTTGGAAACCGCATAATTTTGTCAAAATCTGCATTTTTCCCTGAACTTTTTGAAGACCCCATGCACATATCAAGAGCAAACTCACCAGCACATCCATCCTCCTCCTCTCAAAACCACCAGAGTGATGTATCTAAAACACAGATCTGGTCTCATCGCCCCTCTGCTGACACCCTCTTGCTGGGTCTGTCCATAAACCAAAGTCTGACTTCTGTAGGCTGACTGCTCCGCTCCACCGCGTCACAAGGCTTCACACTCAACTCTAGTAGCACCAAGGTGCACTCTCTCTGCTTGCTCAGGAGCCCATGTCCTGGTGCTCGGTGTCCCCTCTGTCTGGAATGCAAGCCCGACCTCATCTGGAGAACTTGACTCAGCCAAGGCTCGGCTCAGGCATGCAAGGAAGCCCTTTGTGAGCGGATGGATGGATGGATGGATGGATGGATGGATAAATAGATGGATAGATAGATAGATAGATAGATAGATAGATATAAGCAAGTAAGAGTAGGCGTTTGTTTATTTAAAAGACCTGCCCTTGCAATTGCGGGAGCAGGCCGCCCAGTCTCAGTGAGGCTGCTGTCTCCATGATGGTTGTTTGAGCTGGAACTCTGCAGGACAGGAGGTCAGAGGATGCTATGGGTGGAGATTTGGAGGCTGACTGTCTCCCAAAGGCCCATGTGGTAAAAGCCTGATCCCCAGGGCGGTGCTGTTTGGAGGTAGGACACTGCAAGGAGGCGGCCTCGTGGGAAGCCCTCAGGTCACTGCGCGCTTGTCCCCAGAAGATAGCTCCCCCGTGACCTCTTAGGCTCAAACCAGAGGGCAGTTATTGTTATCAAAGCCCAAGTTTGCTGCCCGCCCCCACTCTCTGCCTCCTGGCTTCCAGGTGGTCCTTCCTCTGCCCATGTTCTGCCAATGTTCTCTGCCCTCTCAGAGGCCTAACTCATGGGGCCACTTAATCTTGAACTTGAACCTCCAAAACTGGGAGCTAAACAAACCTCTTCTTATCAACTAGCTGTCACAGGTATTTCTTTTTTAAAAAGATTCTATTGAAAGACAGAGTTTTATATATATATATATATATAGAGAGAGAGAGAGAGAGAGAGAGAGAGAGAGATAAAGAGAGTTTTATCCACTGTTTCACTCCCCAAATGGCTGCAACCACCTGGGCTGGGCCAAGCCGAAGCCAGGAGCCAGAAACTCCATTGGGGTCTCCTCCCACATGGGTGGCAGGGGCCCAAACACCTGGGCCACTTTCCACTGCTTTCCCAGGTGCACTAGCAGGGAACTGGATAAGATGCAGAGCAACTGGGACTCAAACCGACCCTCTTATGCGATGTTTAACCCACTGTGCCACAATGCTGGGCCCGGGACATTTCATGATAATGACAAAAGCAGTGAACACACATGGGAAGTGGGACCGATTCTGAGGCTGAGCTGCAACCCAAGGGGTGCACTGGAACTACACTGCTTTCTCCATCTGGCCTTCATCATGGAGCAAAGAGGTGTCTGTCAGCAACACCCGCTCCCTGAGTCTAGGGAAATGGAGGGGTCTGGGCAGAGGCCCACAGCAGCCACCCAAAATGCTATGCACAGCACAGCATTCCTCAAGGCTCACCCATTGCCCCAGGGCCTTACTTTCAAGGATGGCAGAGCCTGGCCTGGGAAAAACAGATGAAGCATCTCAGTGCCCCCAGATGAAATTTGAAGTGGAGGGAACAGAAATAAGGCATGTCCAGGGCCTGCAGGAATTTTCCCAGGGTGATCCCGAGAGGAAGATCCAAGCACTAGGGAAAAAGACAAGGGAAGAAATCACAGAAATGTAGGCTGTGTTGTTTAGATGGGAACACGGGAAATGGGGCTGAAAGATGGCAGTCTGGAAGATGCTAATTTAAAAGCAGCATATTCTGCCAATTATTTGTGCATTTCTGGAAATCTATCCCCTTTTGTCCCCTCTCCCTGGACCCACTCGTTGATCATTGTCTCTGTCAGGGATAGCACAGAGTTGGTTCTCTCACTCCTGCCCATGACAGACATCACTAATCAATCATGGCCTTCTTCCCTGATGTGTCCAGATCAGATTCCAGTATCCTCCTGAGCACTGGATGCTAGGTGGCCACACTGATGAGATGGAACTTAATGTCCATCCTGCTCATGCTTCAATCCATTGCTTATACCCAACTTGCCATTTTCCCTAAAAGTGCTATTTCTTACACCATCTTTATGTGCTATAGCAGCTAAAAACCCGTATCAGAGAATAAGGCTTCTGTCTTTATTCTGCATGGCTGGCTTTTATAGCAGGAAGCCTCTTCAACTCCATCTTGAAGTGAGGTTGACATCTGCGGGGACTCGTACACCAAGGCAGCACAGTGCAAAAGCAGCACCATGTCCGCGGGCATCGCTGACGGCATGCAGAGGGAAATCGGCGCCCGGGCGCCCAGCACGAGGAAGCTCAAGATCATCGCTCCCCCCGAGGGCAAGGCGGGTAGATCATCGCTCCACCCTGGCCTCGCTGTCCACCTTCCAGTAAATGTGAGTCAGCAAGTAGGAGTCCGACACCTCCCTCACACCAGGGAATTGCGTGCGTGAGTATGGGAAGGCGGGACACCCCTTCTTGACAAAACCTAACTTGGACAGAAAATGAGATGAGATGGCATGGTTTTCTTTGTTTTATTTTTCGTTTTGGTGCTTTTGACTCAGGGTTTAAAAACTGGAATGGTGAAGGTGACAGCAGTTGGTCAGAGCAAGCATCCCCCAAGTTCTACAATGTGGCCCAGGACTTGGACTGTACAATTCTACATTGTTATTTTTTTTGATAGTCATCCCAAATCTCATGAGAGATTTGGCTTTCCCACCAAAAGCCGCCCCACTTCTGAAGGAGAATCGCACGGTCCTTTCCCAGGGTCACCCAGGGGAGGTGACAGCATCCTTTCTGTGTAAATAATGTAATGCAAAATTTTGAAATCTTGGCCTTATTTTTTTAAAAAAAATTTATTTTGAATTGTCAGCCATCATGGCCCTCCTTTTTTGTCCCCCAGATTAAGATGTGTGGAGGCTTTTGGGCTCCATGGGAGTGGGTTGAGGTGTGGAGGCAGCCAGGGCTCACCTGTACACAGACTTGAGACAAGATCAGTAAAAGTACACACCTACAAACAAACAAACAAGCAAAAATGTCGGGGAGCAAAGGGAAAGGACTGGAGGCCCTGAAACCTGCTGCTCTGGCTTCTTCACCATAGTGCAAGTAGCAGTTCTTGGGATCTGAATTTAGGAACCGGAACCCATAGCCACGAGAACAAAGGGAAGAGACGGGAAGGAATCCACCTGATTATTTCTGAGATTTTCTGAAGGAAACTGTTCTTGAGAAACAAGCTTTGGAAAGAAAAATAAAATAAGCACATACGCAAAAGCCATGGGGAAACTTCTGTTTTCATTAATAATCATTAGGGAGAAGATATAAAGTTGTACTTTGCTTTCAGCCATGGACAGATATGAATTAAACTTTTAACTCAATCTATTGGTGTAGATGCTCATTTCATTAACTGTCACCTCTGATTTATTACCTTAATATTTTAACAATACATTAATAGTGCATTCTTCTGGCTCGGCTCCCCAATTAATTTTCTATAAGTAAGCATTTAAATGTTAAAGAATGTTAAGAAATCTCTTTGTAAGGCAAATGACTCCTTTGAAGTGTAAATAACCCCTCAGTTGATCTAATATTGATATTACCTGCTGCCATTATAGACGTTTCTATTTTTCAAAGCGTTACCACGCTTTAATGTATTTGATCATCCAAATGACTCTGTTGGCTAAGCACCGGGAACCCGTTCCTCCCACTCTCTGTAGAGGGAAATGGAGGTGGGTTTTACCAGCGCTTTGCTTAACCAAGTTCACTCGGTAGTAGCGCCGGCTTAGACTTGATGCTGTGTCATCTGACTCGTGGCTGAAAACAGACTGTTGCTCTTTGTCAAGTTATGTATCTGCGTGCTTACGTCTTCAGGTGACGTCAGCGCTATCAAGTTCCCTGAATTCAAGCATGCTCCCAAATGACCTGCTTCCTGGGTCTTCCTCACTGGGTCTCCATCTATGGGATTCATCAGACTTTTCTGGGTGCTTCTTTAAAAGGCAGGAGCTGAGAGCCACCTTGGACTTGCCAAATCTGAGCCACTGGGGCGGTGGGAGGGATAGCATGTCCACCTTTACAGCCTTCTGAGCTAATCTTAAAAGACATCAGTGTTGGAGAACTGTAGGTGGAACTTAACTATGGGGCTTCAGAGGAGCCCGCGTTCTGGCCAGGTGCTAAAATCACACAGTAGTGGCCGGCGCCATGGCTCACTAGGCTAATCCTCCGCCTTGCGGCTCCAGCACACCGGGTTCTAGGCCTGGTAGGGGCACTGGATTCTGTCCCGGTTGCCCGCCCCTCTTCCAGGCCAGCTCTCTGCTGTTGCCCGGGAGTGCAGTGGAGGATGGCCCAAGTGCTTGGGCCCTGCATCCCATGGGAGACCAGGAGAAGCACCTGGCTCCTGCCTTTGGATCAGCGCGGTGCGCCGGCCGCGGCGGCCATTGGAGGGTGAACCAACGGCAAAAGGAAGACCTTTCTCTCTGTCTCTCTCTCTCTCACTGTCCACTCTGCCTGTTAAAAAAGAAAAATCACACAGTAGCCAGACACAGAAAGGGAATGTGCAACCATACGCCATAGATTATCCTAGAAATGCCACTCTCTTCGGGATACACAGCCCGATGGTAGACTTTGTCCATAGAAGGGTGGTGATCAGAAGGTCCAAAAGGACTTTGTGACAGCACCATTGGTCACCACAAAACTAATGCAGGACCCAGCTCCCCACTCTTACACGAGCAAGGGATGGTATGAACCCTGCTGGGACTTTCCTGAGACCTTCAGGTCGCGCACTCAGTGCGCATTTGCCAAGGTGTTGGAGGAGAACGCAGAAGTTTAACACACCAGGAGTGACACTGAGGGCCCGCCCCCTGCATCCCTCAGCTTCCTGGAGGCATCACGAAGCTTCCTTGCAGTCTTCTTGTGTGTCAGTGGTGCCACGGGACTTGTTGCCACCAATGGAACAGGAGATGGAGTGTGGTACATTACCCATGACAGGTATGTAACCCTGTCATGAGAACCGCCTACCAAAGTCAAGAACCAGTGACCAGTGTGGTGAGAGCAGGCAGTGTTGCCTTCTTCATAGGATCTCTTTTTCCTCACCTACTAGATGCAGGGAGTACAGTAGAGAAATTCCAGTCTTGAAGGGAAGCCAGAGAGGGAAGCAGAAGGAGGCTGAATCCCACAATGGCTGCGTGGGGCAGGGCCCATCATCCTTCCCCCCTCCCCCAACCCGTGTTGGGCCGTGATGCCAGTGAGGTTAGGGAACAGCCAAGCTTTGTCACAGTTGCTAGCCTGCCCTGCCCAGCAGGGACGGAGCCACCGGGACTGCCTGCATCACTCTGCACAGATTCCCGTGTGTCTCCGGGGACAACCCCATGAGCACGAGGCTACGTTTTCACCATCTCACTCTCTGCCCCATCCCTTCTCAGCACTTAGGAATCCATTTTCTTCCTCTTCCCCTCCCTGTTCCCCTGGGACCCACATACATTTTCTAGCCCTCAATTGAATTTTGCCTGGAAAATGTTGACTGCCATTAACCATCAGGGTGAGGCCTCTTGGTTTTCACCTCTCTGCTGACATCCGAGTCCAACGTGTAATCAAAAGGGAAGAAAGAGGGCCAAAGCCCTCCAACATGAGTTTCCAACATCTGGTTCCTCAAAGGGCCTAAAAGCCAGAGGAAGATCCCATGGAAGCTGGCCTATTCGGGAAGCAGCTTCCTTAAGGGTGCCTGTCATGCTCAGAACCCATCTTCAGCCTCCGTGTGGCCTTAAGGGAACTCTTACCAGGTCAGATATCTATGCCAGCTGCCTTTGGGAAGCTGTTCTGGTAACCCTGAGTGTTGTCTTCTCCAGAGGCCTGGGGTGTGCTGTGGCATCAGACTGAGCAGGTGGAATGCACTCAGTAGGCAGACAGAGCAGGGAGGAATGCCCCAGGCTCATCACTTAAGAGTTGTGTGCCTTCCAGTGAGTTCATTAACCTTTCTGGGCCGTAGTGGCTTTATGTGCGAAACGTGGCTTCATGCACGAAACGTGGGTGGCGTCGGGCCATACCTTGTGGTTCTGTGGTGAGGATTACATGAAGCGATCCGGGCAGAGGGCAAGTGTCCACGCATGTGAGCAGCTGTGCTAACACATGTGCTTGGGGTTGTTTTTGTAACATCTGGGTTTCTTCTGCTCCAAAAAGAGCTTGTCCTGAAGCATGAGGAACTTCAACTTTCTAGACTTTTATTTTATTTTTTAAAGGATGTATTTGTTTATTTGAAAGTCAGAGTGGAGAGAGAGAGAGACAGAGAAAGAGAGGAGAGACAGAGATCTTCCACTCCCTCAAGTGACTGCAATGGCCAGGGCTAAGCCAGGCTGAAGCCAAGAGCCAGGAGTTTCTTCCAGGTCTCCCTCATGGGTACAGGGGCCCAATACTTGGGCCATCCTCAGCTACTTTTCCCAGACCATTAACAGGGAGCTGGATTGGAAGTGGAGCAGCTGGGACTCAAACCGGTGTCCACTGCGGGCGGTAGCTTAGCCTGTTAGGCCACAATGCTGGCCCCAGCTTTTAGATTTTTTTAAGAGATGGTATTCAACAGTTTTTCACCCCTACAAAAACATGCCTGAGACAAGCTGCTTGCAAAGGAAAGAGATATTTAGCTCACAGTTTTGCAGGCTGGAAGTCCAAATGGTGTGACGCAGGTTCTGCCAAAGGCCCTCTGGTGTGTGTGGGGGGGGGGGGGGGACACACGGTGAGCCAGGCAGTAGAGAGAGGCTGGGTGGGACCACACCCCTGCTGGCCTAATAACCTTGTCATGAGAGCTGCCTTCCAAAGTCAAGACCCAATGACCAGAGGATCCATTAAGAACTGCCCCCCCCCCCACACACACACACCAGCACCACCATGGCAATCAAGTCTGCCTCACAGGCCTCTGTGTCACAGTCAACACGCACCCTAAAGCAGCGATAGGAGAGACCTTCACAGAAGTCCTCAGCATACAGCAGGAGCACCTGCAGCCCGGAGAAGCCAACAGAGGCTCCAGGTCTCCCAGCGGTTTGCTGGCGGTCAGCGCCAACCACCCCGACCCAGGCCTCTGCTCCGACACTCTTCCTGCCATCCCGCCCCTCCCCAGGGCCTTTCCTGCAGGGCTCACATTCTGATCCTGGACTTCCCCGGTTCAAATCCTGGCCCTGCTGAAGACTAAGAGTACAGTTATGGGAGATATCCTTAGTCTCAGTGTGCCCCAATGTACCACAGTCTGCAAAGGGGACAGAGGGATAGGCTGCCACTGTGGGCTTCCGAAGACTGAATGGCGCAACATCTGGTTCAGAGCAAGTGCTCAGCAGGTGCAAACCGTGCCGACCCAGCTGCCTTCACCCCCAGGCCTTAAGGCTCTCAGGACCCAGCTTCTGCTGACGTAGAGAGCTCCAGGGGCCGAGGCTGGCCTGGGACCCCAGGGTCAGCATTTCTCGAAAGTTCTCCCTAGCTGCTCTGCTGAGCGACGCGGCTAGAGTCCTGCCTTCCAGCTTTACAAAAATCAATCTAAAATCACTTCAAGGCGGTGACCAGCTAGGACTTGGCAGTCACTTCTTCTTCTTCTTTTTTTAAAGATTTATTTATTTATTTGAAAGGCAGAGTTAGAGAGAGAGAGAAAAGGAGAGAGATCTCCCATCTGCTGGTTCACTCCCCAAATGGCAACAATGACCAGAGCTGGGCCAGGCCAAAGCCAGGAGCCAGGAGCGTCACCCAGGTCTCCCATGTGGGTGCAGGTGCCCAAGGACTTGGGTCCTTCACTGCCGCTTTCCCAGGTGCATTAGCAGGGAGCTGGATCGGAAGTGGAGCAGCCAGGACTTGAACTGGCACCCCTATGGGATGCTGGCACTGCAGATGGCAGCTTAACCCACTGTGCCACAGCTCCGGCCCCAGCAGTCACTTCAGATGGACAAGAAAATGGAGACCCAGAGAGTGGGAGCCTGTGTCTCCCCACGTGTGCTGAGTCCATGAGAGAATGGTCAGGACCTGACCCTCCCGACCCTGTGAAGCCCAGCCCCAGCCCACAGCTCTGCTCCACACTCCGACTCGTGACGCCCCTGACGTGCCCAGGCCCAGAACTGCAAGCCACAAGTCCCAGCACCTCCAGTCGTTCTGACTTGTCACAGGTGAAGCGTGCTGTGGTGCACAGTCTTCCATGGAGCCTGCAGAAGGCCCTGGTGGCAGAAATCCCCCTTGATGGTGAGCTAGAGGTGGAAGTGGGCTGAGTGCAGGAGAGAGGGCGATCCTGCCACCAGCACCCTGGAAGCCTGGTTATAAAGGGAGCCATGGCAGAGGTGGCCCGCACCTGTCACATTCCCACTCCTTCCCCTGGGAAGTGGGGTGCGGGGTTGGGGGGCTGCCTCTGCCCCTCGGGAAGGCAGGTTGGATGGTCTCAGCCCAGGAGAGCTCCCAGCCCCGCCTCAGCCCTCTTTCGCAGCTCCTTCGTTTTCCACTGAGGGCTGCTGGCCAAGTTTCCAGTCCTGCCACTCCTGTGACCCAGCAGAGAAGGTACGCAGGGCCTAACCACCAGCGTAGCATGTCAAGCAACTCTGCAGTTGAGTGCTCTCTCTCTCTCTCTCCCTCTCAGAAGCTAAATGAGAAAAGCCCTTACCTAAGCCCCACTCCCCTGCCCCCAGCCAGCACTGATACCCGAGCTGCATCCACACCAGACTGTGGCAGCCTCCCAGCTGCGTCTCCCGGGGTGATTTGTGGCTGGCAGGGCTGGGTGGCTCCATGAAGCTCGTTAGTGGTCACAGCGCTGGCCTGCGAGGCCGACGCAGGGCCTCTGAGCCCCAACAGGAGTGGGAGGCGGGGGCGAATCATGGAACTATCAACGCTCCTGCTTTCAGCCTCGTCCGTGTGTCTCCTCCTGTGACACTTCCGACTCCACACTGGCCTCCTGCTTCCCTCGCTGTAAAAGGAGTGCCCTTTAAAAAGAGTTTGTTTTTTTAATTTTTAAAAATTTATTTAGAGGCAGAGAGACAGGGTGGGGCAGGAGTAGGAGGCGGGACTCCTGTTGCAGGTTCACTCCCCAAATGCCTGCAATAGCGAAGCTGGGCCAAACTGAAACCAAGAGCCCAGACTCAACCCAGACTTCCAAAGTGGCTGCCAGAGACCCACGCACTTGAGCCCTCATGAGCTGGAATGGAAGAAAAGCCAGGACTCGAACCCGGGCGCACTTTGATATCGGATGCCAGTGTCCCAGATGATAACGTCACTGCTGTTGCAAGGCTGGGAGTACAGGCTGCACATTAGAGGCCAAGGCAGTCCTTTAACACGTACCTGATTAACGGGTCCTCATCCCGCTGACCTCTCCCCCTCCCCGACTTCTCCATCCTGTCCTCCCCTCCACCTTTAATCAGTGTAGCAGGATTGCGATTCTACCAGCCTCATCTCCAGACTTCAGTGGCAAATAAAAAGCAGTCTGAGGAGGCCTTGAAACGGTCGAGGGCAGGGATGTGATTCGCAAGGCAATCTCCTGCCTGGGCATCTCCTAGCCCCGGGGGTTGTGGGAGATCTGTAAAAGAGAAGGAAAAAAAAAAAAGCCCACGACAACTCCTGAATTGTCTCAGTTTTGTTAGCAAAATCGAGATAAGCAAAACAATCTCCCTATAAAATTCAATTAATTTTTTTCCCCTTGCTAATTCGTTTCGCCTTGTTTATCACGGAGGCTGACACGTCAGATCTCAGGGGGCCTTGCTCCCCCTCTAAGATGTTGTTGCACAGAAGGAAAGGAGCTGTCCCGACCAAGGTCACCGGCGGCCACGAGGCTCCCAGAGAGCAGCTTCTCCCTAGGAGAAGGGCTGACCTGACTCACTCCTAGTCCCCCAGGAGGGCTGCAGGCAGGGTAGCTCTCGGCCCCCCGGACACCCACCCTTCTTTCCCGTCTGGCTGCAGACGAGAAGACCACCCCACTCCATGCCCCTTCCATTTATACAAAGGGTTTCTTTGCCTTTGAAAGCGCTGGAGTCTCTGTCCGCAGAATTTTCGGAGAATATTGTAGCATAGAAGAACCTTCTGCCCAAGGCACCTGAATGTTAAAGACATTAGTTAATTAAGTCTCAGAACACTCTCGTCACTTTCTATTTCCTCTTGAGGCAAGAGACGGAAGAATAGGGCACATCCAGCCCAGGCCAGAGGAAGAGCGAGTCGGGAAAGGAGGCCTTCCTACCCCAGCATTTAGCACCTCACGCTTTCTCAGAAAAGGCTTGGGTACCCAAGGGTGGGCTGCCTTGGGAGCGCCCAGCACTTGGTGTGGAAGTGCTGAAAACACATGAGGGGCTGATCCTTCCTAGCTGTGTGGCTCTGGCCAGGATCTCTGCTTCTCTGAGCTGGAGTTTCTACACTTGATGAATGGAGCTCTGAGCATCTGCTTCGTAGGGCTGCTCGGAGAGTTCTCTCTAAGAATGCACGGGAAAGAGCCATGGTGATGTGTATACCCACTGCTGAGGCTTCAGAGGGACAGGGGACAACCTGAGACCTCCTACGGACGGCTAAGAAGCATGCCAGAAAACTCCAGAACTGTCGAGAGCTAAAGGTCTCCCACGACGAGGTGAGCAGGTGGCAACCTTTCAGCTTTTTCCTTACCTTTGCCAACAACAGAAATTCTTTTAATGTGTGTTTTTAAAAAGTAACTTTCTTGGATAGATTCAGGTTTCTGCATTAGCTGCTCCTTGTTGGGATTGGAAAAGCCTGATTTCTGAAGTCGATTTCTGTCCCTGCAGTGAGCTGATTGCCCTGCTTTGATGCCCCGTTGCAGGTGCTGCCCGGGGCTCCCCAAGGCTCACGCAGGCTCTACCCGGACACATGCTGGCTTTGCAGGTGCACTAAACGAGACCTGTGCAACTTCGGCAGTGCACTCACAGTGTGTGCATGAAGCAGGAGCCCATCAAAGCTGCCGTGTTGACAGGAAGCCGATGTCCCCCTTGCCATGTGGCTGGCAGAAAGGAGTTCTCCGAGATGAGCCCGAGCAAGAGGGATGGGGGATGGGGGGCAGGTGGTTAGAGGAGGAGAGTGAGTCGTCCCCAGAGATTTTCCCCCTTGGTTATTTTTACTCCTCCAGGGCTTCCCCTCCCCGGAGCTGGCTCTGTGGGCCTTTGCCGATCACCGGAAGTAAGTCCCACCCTACCTCCACTGTGCAGTCAAGTGGCAGACGCCTCGGCAGAGAGGGCAAGAGACCCCCAGCCTGGGCACAGGCGGGTAGCACGGAAGCTGGGATGGGATAACAGCACAGACACACGCTGAGCAGAAGGATGTGGTAGGTGGGTACCAGCTGCAACTCGTGGCAGGGAGGTGCCTTTTGCTTGCATCTGGGCATGGGTCCTGCACACATTTTGGCAGAACAGGAAGTAGAGGAAGGAAGGGCTTAGAGGAAGGGCCCTGGAGCCATCCCGGCCTTCTCACGGCCGCCATCCCGTGATCAGGGCGTGCCCTACTACTCAGCGACACGGCCAGGCTCCTGCTTGGAGACTGGCTGGCCCAACCTGAAGGCTCCTCTGCTAAGGCAGGTTTGAGGGCCCTCAGATGCTGCTCAGTGGTTCACTGCAATGACCAGGCTTCCAGAACTATCTCTGGGCTGCC